ATTCTTCGGGTAATTTTATGCATCCTCGTGGCTTGGCGGATCGAGGAAGCGCGAGTGTATCGGTTTTTTTAAATGAAACGTTTCAGTTTCGCGTGCAATAATCGATGCTCTTCGTTATTCGATGACAGAATATCGAGGTATTTTTACTTCTCGATTGATACTGAAGCCGGGGTCACATTTACGAAAATGAATTAAGTACATCGCATGTCGGGTATACCAGAACATGACAACGGATTAATTTTGAAGCTTCCAGAATGTGATCCAATTAACTAAAGTATTGCTTGACATGGTTCTTCAAGGATGTAATGTGTGAGTTCCGTCCTATGTAATTACATTAATACATTTATATGCAGTCATTTATGTAAAAGACTTCGTTGCATGTGAATTCTGTCTAAAAAACTGCAGATCGTGCGCAGAATCTCGTAAAAGTATCTTTTGCAGTAAAGAATCCTTAAAAAATCTCGTAATATATTTCATAAACAAATAAGTTTTGTCATACACCCTTGCATTAGAAACTTTCCCTGCAATCAACAATTATCTACTTAATAATATTCGTCAACTTAAATTTCAAAACCTATTTCCACCCCCTTAAACAATAACCCATTAACCCTTTCCAGACGAGTGTTTCTTAAAATACTCAAATTTTTATCAGTAAAATCCCTTATATCCAAATAAATCAAACTCTTAAATATTAAACGACAGCTACACACGATCTTCTGTAACATAAGTAATATAATTATGCAGCCAATCAACGAATCATCCATTTCGTTATTTATTTCGTAAGCATTAATATTTGCAATCAATATCGAATAATAAACCATCAATCGAAATGAACTCAATTCTCGCTGTAAAACCTTGATATCAGTGGATTCGTCCTCGAGAGGTTCAAAGCGAAAAAAAAATCGCTGGAATATTGAATAGTAAATCATGAATCGAACTGAATGCACCTTAAAAAATTCAATTCACACTCTAGAACCTTGATATCAATACATTCGTCCTCGATAGGCTGAAATCGCAAAACAAAATCAGCGAGCGTCACTTATCCGGCGTACCCGTCAATTCCCCAGTACACTGAAGCCTCTTTCGTCCATCGCGAAACTGGATGGCGCGCGCGCGCGCGCACGGTCGGTCGGTCAGTCTGTCGGTCGAGAATTCCGCTTGTTTGTCCATCTCGCGGTTCAGATAATCTGGCCGGCCGAATTATCCTGGTTAGCGTCAAATAGCTTGGTACGCCATCAAATAATTCGTTTCACGCCAGATAATCCGAGGCTGCGGCAAGGATAATTCCCGACGCATTCCAGGATTATTTGTTGCGGCTTCGGATTATTTCGCGTCAAGTGAGCTGCGCTTTAGTGCTCCGCGGTACGGCATCCAGCCGAAAACAACGACGGTACGGTGGAACGACGGCGAAAGGGGAGGGGCAGAGGGCGCGGAACAACGGCAGGAACAACAACAACGCGTGACGTCATCGAAAGCGACCGACACACTTGGACGACCGGGAAACCGATGACGACGCGAACGGGAAATAAAACTAAATAAATCCGACATATGAATATAAATAGATAGACAGGAAAGGATGTGAGAGAGCGGCCGATATACGTGTATCAGTTTCATCGGCGCACACGGGTTATATAATAACACGCCGGTCACAATTCAATCGAAGTCGTATCATCGGCCGGGACTGTGAAAAAAAGCCACGATTCAATTCGACGATCGCGGCTTGCGAAAACTTCGTTTCGTTATTTGAGTTAGCTGTTTGCCTCGTTATGGGCCACCTCCTAGTTTCCATTTCGATGCCGGGCCACCTTTCAAACCCGCCCTCCGAGCCCCGTCAACCCCGTGTCCACGCTTTACCCGGCTTTCGCCGATGGTTCTTTCCCTCCTCCAATCTGGGCGAAAGTAAGTTTATCCGGGGAACGAAATATCCGCTCGTTAGAAGTAGGAAACAATCGTTCCGCGGATCAAAGGCGAAGGCTTTGAGCTGCTCGCCACATCGAACAAATTAATCCCCGCGAACGGATTAATCCCTCGCGCGACGTGTGTCCGCGGATTTAGCCGCGGAAAGGGCAGGGCCGGCTGTGTTGGTGATGAGGGGGGAGAAAAAACGCGCAAAAAAGAATATCGCTGGTAATTGGGCGGGAGCAACCGTCCTTGATGAACAGCCAACGAATAGAGAGAAATATGGAGCGGTTTTTCGAAATTCATGGAAACGCGCGACTTTGTTTTGGTATAATTCAATGGTATTGCTGTTGGTAGGTGCGTTGTGCGCTCGCTGACGAGTTTCGATGGACTTTTTGGCTTTGGTTAACGAGAAATCGCACGTGAAACGAAGAACGAAGATGTTTTATTCGAATATTTCACGTATTAATGGATCATACGA